GAGAAATAGTCTCCCAATTCTTTTATAAAGCAGCTAAGTATATTTTATTTAGAAATTTAGAAAAGAAAGAAAGGAATCTTTGTGGCATTGTTTCTTAATTTCTAAGAATGATATTTGAATATATATATATATATATATATATATATATATATATATTATATAGCTTGTTATAGTGTATACATACACACAAACATTCACACACAATTTTAAGCATGAAGACACATTCCTAGAATGCAAGAGATTAATTGCATTAGAATCCATCAGTCAAGATGGACTTGTCCCACCACTTGGATGACACAGTTTACAGTGTGGCTTGGTGACAGTTTGCTTGCAAAAGGAAAGTAATATAGGTCATCCTCACGGCTCCATAAGACCAGAACAAGGCATTTAGAAGGCAGTGCAGGACTTTAGGTCTGACCTCAGTGAGCCTCTACATTTGCGGAGGCCTGTTCCTTTCTTCAGTCTGAAGGTGGCGTCTTGGCTTTGGTAGACAGTCACATGTTGGAATACCTTCTCTCTTTTTTTTATTTTATAATTTAATTTAATTTTACATATCAGCCATGGATTCCCTTGTTCTCCTCCCTCCCGGCCCCTCCCTTCCCCCAGCCCACCCCCCATTCCCACCTCCTCCAGGGCAAAGACTCCCCTGAGGATTGAGTTCAACCTGGTAGATTCAGTCCAGGCAGGTCCAGTCTCCTCCTCCCAGGCTAAGCCAAGTGTCCCTGTATAAGCCCCAGGTTTCAAACAACCAACTCATGCACTGAGTACAGGACCCGGTCCCACTGCCTGGATGCCTCCCAAACAGATCAAGCTAATCAACTGTTTCACTTATCCAGAGGGCCTGATCCAGTTGGGGGCTCCTCAGCTATTGGTTCATAGTTCATGTGTTTCCATTTGTTTGGCTATTTGTCCCTGTGCTTTATCCAACCTTGGAGAAAGAGAGCTTAGGGGAGCGGGAGATCCCAGCTGGATCAAGAACAGAGAGAAGGAACAAGGAATAAAAGACCATGATAAATGAAGACCACATGAGAATAGGAAGAAGCAAACTGCTAGAGAGGCCCGCAGAAATTCACAAAGATGCCCCCACAATAGACTACTGGCAATGGTCGAGAGACAGCCCGAACTGACCTACTCTGGTGATGGGATGGCCAAACACCCTAATTGTCGTGCTAGAAACCCCATCCAATGACTGAGGGAACTGGATGCAGAGATCCATGGCCAGGCCCCAGGTGGAGCTCCAGGAGTCCAATTGGCGAGGAAGAGGGGGGGTTTATATGATCGAGAATTGAGACCAAGGAATACCTTCTCTTACCCCATCAAACTCCATCAACTGGAAAACTTCAAATATCTATGAAAAATTTCTTACTTGAAGCTAGACTACACTAAAAGGGACACATGGAAACCTTTTCACTCTTTTTTTCCCCCCTGTGTTCTTCACAACAATGACCGGAAGATAAATATGACAGCATCTTGAGTAGATTTAAGGCAGGAAATGGCAAGTTATAAATATTAATATTAGTGTTCTTTTTGACACAGCTAGCCTACCAACCTAAATTGCTGCTATCAGCACAACGTGAATGACTACTGCCTTTACATCCTCCCTAATGGCTTTGTTCCTAAAGCCACACTGAGCATATGCGATTTAATGCAAACACAAATGTTTGCTTTAGCTGTGCCCAAGACTTGTTATAACAGTCTTTGAAAAGTGAATTGTTTTGCCCAGTGAAGACTTAAGCTGCAAAATGATAATTAATAATTCAGGCATGTTAGTAATTTTTTTTTGAGTCTTAGCTCTAAGACACTTTACATTTATTTGAAAACCAAGTGAGAGTTGCCTTAAGTAAACAAATTAAGTCATAAATTTTGATGCTCTGAACATGCCAGGGGCTCCTGAAGGGCTGTGAGTGAGCTAAGACGCTGATCATTCATTCTCTGTGTTGATGATCATGCCTGGAATTGTAGAAAGCAGCATAAACTCAGCAGTGAGAAATGGAAGCGGGAGGACAAAGCACCTCTTGTTTTTATTGCTTTTCGAGGACGTGCAATCACTCTGTAGCCGGCATTGTTGTACCTATCACCACATGCATTTATTCTGTGTGCATCTTCTGTGACCTCACTTGAACATACAAGGTTAACCATGAGTTTGTTTTCTTGTCTCCTCTGAGCTTCAATTCTGAGCTATGTGATGGTCTTGTGGGTTTGGGTTTAATAAGCAGAGTTTAGGGAAAATATTGTGTGTGGGTTGATTAATGAATGTATAATTGAGAAAGGCTGTTAGCATCAGAAAAATGTCTACTTCTATTTATGTCTTATTGAAATTTAGAGGTGTGTTGTGCAGCAAAACAATTTTCAAGGTATTATCTATTCATTATAATTTGTACTATATTGAATATTGTACTATATTTGAATAATGCAGTTGCAGTACATGATTAAATATTTCATATATGTTATACATGTGTGACGTATTTACAGGTCTAATGAATAGATTCTTTGAGTTGGAAGTGTAGTCACAGTTTTAACGGTTAGCTTCCTACCCCCTGTGCCTGGAGTCTTCATCTACAAATTCATTAAACTATAGGTCAAAGACATTCAGACAAAAATTGTATTGATACTGAACATGTATAGGCAATGTTTTTTTTCTTGTCATCATTCTCGAAACAATACAGTAAACCAGCTAATTAATTGCACTGTATTTGATACAAGTTATGTAAAGATGGTTCAGAATTCATGACAGAGTGCATCTAGGTTTTCTAAAAATACTATAACATTTTATGTAAGAGACAAGTATCCACAAGCTGATATTCTTGGGGGACTTGGAACCAGGATGATGCACACCAAAGGCTCACTATACATCATTCTATTTTTCATATTTGTTTTGTTCTTATAAAAGATTTAGCTCTAAAATTAGTTTCTAAAGTCAGATGACATATTCCAAAAACAAAAATATTTATTGTTGAAAATATACTTGATAAAAGCATTCTTTAGAAATAGAGGAACTATAAAAGACTTAGAAACATGCCACTTGTATTTCTATCCAGAGGTTATTGTCTAAAGACAATATCTCTTCCCCTGTTACATATATCTGTGTACAGCATCGTGCAACATTCTGAAAATGCAAAAAAATAGTGTAAAGCAGCAGATTTAGGGAAATAATCATCTGGTTAACATATTGACATATTTTCTTCCCTATTAAAATATGCAGAGTGTGCTTAAGTGTATATTCCACTCATGTCAAAGGCTGACAACACACATGGTACTCTATAAATGGAAGTGCTTGGAAAAGGAATATTAGTAGACTTAACCCAAATCCTTTTTCACTTCTCAAAAGTCAGCAGCATGTCTACTGATTCTGGGTTCTCACCTCATAGTTTCTTCTTATGGGAAGGTAGCCACTGAACTAGACATTTGGTTTCTAGGAAAGAATGTCTTGCTAACATTGGGTCCATGAACATACTGTTCCTTCTGCCTGGGCTGATCTCTTCAACTCCAGTCCCCCCTCCCCCGCCCACAAACTTCACTTACTCATTTATACTTACCCTGTCTTATTTTAACCTATTTTAAAATTAGCTTTAAAAATAACAGATTTTCTCAAGTTTAAACAGACCTGAAAACTTCCTCTCTTCTGGAGAGCATTTATTGTGCTGTATGGTGCTATGCAGGCTGCCAGGGGAGAAAAGCCATTAGTGGTATTACCTAGCAGTGAACGATGCATGGTACAATCCTAACCTGGCAGTTAAGACGTGTCCACTGGTGCAATAGTGGAACAGGGGTTATGGGGATAACCAACTGTGCTTGGATTGGATTTGAGGCCAGCTCTGAAAAAAAAGTCAAGCCTGCCATCATGAATCTGGTAAAAAAACAAAAACAAAAACAAAAACAAAAAAAAAAAAACCATGGCTTGGGAGGTCATAGGGCCTTGGAGGAATCTATTACTGCTGGTTTAGTAAATAGGCATGTCAAACTTCCTTCTAAACATTTATGTTTGTACACATAGACTAGTGCCTCCTTCAACCTTGGCCAGAGAAGCTTCTTGCTGCATTGGTCAGCAGTTACTGAAGAGACTCATAACTGGTCAGTGTGCCAAGAATTAGTGACTACTGAGTGCTCAGATCTACTGAAGTGTCTTTATCAAGTCATCCATTTCCCAAGGCTCAGGGAACATTGGGGTATATATGAATAGAAGAGTCAGAGGAAGGGGAGGAGTGCTATGAAGTGCTATCCTCTGGACTCGACATGGCCTTTGTACTCACCAACTCTTTGCAGCTATGGTTCCTTGCATGAGACCTGCAAATCAAGTCAACTCAAGAAGTCCGACCACTTAACTTTCCAACAGGCAGCACTAATTGGATTCAGTGGGTTACTAAAATAAACTAAGTGACACAAAGATGGGAGGAGATTGTGTTGATATCTGGAGGAAATGTGAGGGGGAGGTGGGAGTAGATATGATCAAGATACACTGTTTATATGTATGATATTGTCAAAAATAAATATAAGATACTCTATTAACAACAACAAAAATTAACAGACTTTCTTTTTGGTGTTTTCATAACACTTAGTTTTGGTTGATTATCTCCCTTCACCTTCTGCTTTTAGCGCTCATCTGGCTGGTACCCACCCTCATTATATCCTCCCATTCCAAGTGTTTCACCTCTTACTTTCATATCTCAAGTGTTCTATTACTCACCTTACACTCCTTCCTATCACAGAACTATTTGTACATCCATTGGTCATTGCTGCTGTATTTATAATATCTAGGACATGGAATCAGCTTGAATATCCATCAACAAATAGATGGATGATGAAAATGTGGTTTTATATATATATATAATATATATATATATATATATATATACACACACACACAAAGAATTTTATTCAGATGTAAAGAAAAATAAAGTTATATAATTTACAGGAAAATTGATGGAACTGGAACATGTTATGTCAAGTAAGCTAACTGAGGCTCAGAAGGAAAAATATTGCAACTCCTTTCTCCCATGCAGGTCGAAGCTTCTACTTGTTAAATGCATTGGAACTAGAAGGAGGCCCATGGCCCTTCTCTGGAGGCAGACCCTGACCTCTCCTCTACCAGGCTCTCGCAGGATTTCATACCCTGAGCTCCTGACAGACCACACTCGGTTGTAGCTGCTTGCTTGTCTTTTTTGCTACCAGTCAGGGCCTCTGAGGAAACAGAATTACGTCTTTTCTGCTTTTCATTGTACACCCAGCTCCAAACTGGTATATAGTAGGTGCTCAAAATATGTATTAATTGAATTAATAAGCCCAACCTTTCATATGTCATTTCTGTCATGTGGGAACTGATCTGACTTTCACTCACTTCAGAGGACTCTTTCATGTGATTGTTATTTCTCTTCAATCTATAATCTACAGATGAAGAACCATTGTTGATAGAATCCTTCGAGAGATCCTATGAGCAAGAGACATCAAGATCATGATGGGGAAACCTACAGAGACAGCCAAACCAAACGAGTGGGAACTCACGAAATTTAGATCAATACCTGTGGAGCCTCCACGGGACTGGACTAGGCCTTCTGCATAAGCAAGACAGTTGTGTAGCTTGATCTGCTTAAGGGCCTCCCCTCGCAGTAGGATCAGGATCCATACCTGGTGCACTAGTTGGCTTTTTGGAGCCTACCATCTATGGTGGGACACCTCGTGCAGCCTTGAGGCAGAGGGAGGGGTTGGACTTGCCTCTACTGAATGTACCAAGCTCTGCTGACTCCCCATGGGAGGCCTTACCTTCTTGTAGGAAGGAATGGGGTGGGGTGGGGGGAAAGCTGGAGGGGCAGGAGGAGGGAAGAGGGAGATCTGTGATTGGCATGTAAAATGAATAAAAAATTCCTTAATAAAAAAAAAGAACCATTGTTGAATCCATTCCTCTGTGTGAGAAGCCTTTATTGTGAAACATCATCGCATCTCATGGAGCAGTCTTACTTGTCAGTATCATTTGATGGCACCAAAAGCACTATGAATAGACGCTAGGATGAGAGGTCATTTAGTTTTCTGTTATGACATTAAAGATTTTTAAAAAACAAAACCAGACATCTTAGGAAATATTCTATCCGTTTTCAGCCTTCTGAAACTTTGAAAGTAGATAATTTACCTTTATCTTTCCAGTGTCTAGCATACATTGGGATCTTGACAAATGTTTCAAACAGAACAATTGAGATGGCTGTCTGGGATGTATTTGAACAGTATTTTGTGACTAGCATTTATTAAACACTTGCTAAGCTCTCAATTACTCGTCGGTGTGGGAGAGGCACTGGTAAAGGCAGTGAAGAAAGCAGGTATTTTGTCTGACTGATGCCAACAAGGATAAAGCATTTTCTGGCAAATTCTACCCTGGCTTCCTGGTCCTGGAGGGTCCCATCTGATTGGATGGTGTGGGGTAACTACTCGCTTGTGTGAACACATTATTACTTTGCCTTCCGTTATCTTCAAGAAATACAATCTTTCACATTGTATTCAAGGCAAAAATGTGAAGAAATGAAGAGTGAAAATTGGAAGAACAATGAAGGAAATGCAACTAGGCTAAAATCTCAGCTTTGGATTCAGCGAAAAGATTGGTAAACATTATTGAAAGGATCACTAACAGATTAAACCACCCAGTTCTAGACACATAGACTCCCTGCATATAGACCAGTTACTGTTTTTGAAAATCAATTGGTGCTGTCTAGCACAGAGCCTGAAGCATCCTGTTTCCTTATAGAAACAGACTTCTGAAATCTAAATTTAGGTATATATGCTGCATAGTCTCTAAAGACAGCTATCAGTTGCTTTCCTCTCCATTCTTAAGGCAAAGTTAGTTTCCCTTTGTCCTGAACAGGAGCTAGTCACATGACTTACTTCTCCCAAGAGAACACAGCTTGAATGCCATTGTGACAATTCCAGATCCAGCCTTTTGGGGGTGTTGCCAACTTGCTCTTTCTTTCAAACCTGAGTGCTGTGTTGAAGTTTGAGAACCCTGAGTCCACCTCAATTGATGTAAGACAGGTGAGGCTAGGCATGTGGAGCCGCTGGGAATTATTACTCATTCAGTGCATCAATGAATAGTGAAGCTGTAAGTATCTCATTACTTCTACTATTGAATTCAAAGTTCTTAATTTTTAAAATTACATTGATTTGGGGTGTGTGTGTGTTTGTGTATTCCAGGGATTTAACTTAGGTCATTGGTCTTGGCAGCTAGCACCTTTACTGACAGAATCATCTCAGTCACCCTGACTTTAAAGTTCTTTTAACATGGTGTATAGATCTATGCATATTATGTCTAAGTATATAAGACAAGCATTCCTAATTCCCAAATCCAGTACTTGAAGTGCCTTCAAATCAGAAACTTTTGGTATGTCAGCCTTATGCTCAAATGGAAAATTCCATGTCTAATCTTACATAAAGGGCTGTAATGAGTATACAGGTGCAGTTGGTTATGGTATTATTCATCTATGATTCTGGCACCCTGGAGGCTGAGGCAGGATAATTGCCAGTTTGAGGCCAGCCTGGGTAACATAGAGTGACACTGTGTCAACATTTTAAACTAACCAAGTGAACCGATGGAGGAGATGAACTAAAGATACTGTGTTAAATTACCTTCAGACTACATGTCTAAGGTAGATAGATGAAGTTATGTTTAGGCTTCAGTCTAACTATATTCCCAAGATATCTCAGTGTGTATCAGCAAATACTCAAACCTTTCCAAATAAAAATTAAAAAAAAAAATCCTTCCAAAATCCCAAACACTTCTCATCCCAAGCATTTTGAATTAGCATATTAAACCTGTGTATGTTTACATGTTTATGGGTTAAAACACAAATAATTCTTCAACTCAAAGTATTTGGTTTGATTTCTCACATAAGCTGTGACTATTTGCCAAAAACAAGTCCCGTCTCCAAACATTCCAGGCTGGAGATGTTTCTTTCACTTGTGTTCTGACCAAACCCAGCTTCTCATTTGCATTTGTTTATCATCTCTTCCCAAGGAATTTGAACTAAGTGAATAAATTAATTTTCAACAAACCCCGTCAAGAAACACAAACAAAATAATTAAACAGATGCCTACTTCAGAATAGAATTGCAAAATTATCTCCTGTTATTAGAAATGGGAAATTTCATAAAAATATCTGAGCACGACAAAGACAAAGCAAGCATGCTCTTTGTGTTCTGAGATTAAAACAGTGTGGACAAAGAGGACGTCTGTGCAGGAAAAAGAACAACAATAAAGTTTAAGACATGGAGCTGTAGCTTCCTGCCTTCTACCACAAGTAGCAATCACCCTACCAAATCAGAAAAATGTCTGAATGGCATCACAAACTTCTGTACTCTAAGTTACACGCAAAAATGAAAAACGAATAGGAGTCCTTTGCCCTTTAATTCTGTTAGGTACCTTTAAACATTAGCATAACAGAAGCCCTGGGGCGGGGGTTCTAGGGGAACCCCACGGTTATTGCTTCCTGGAATCTGAGTCTCTGTTGAAGGTTTCTGGAAAAAATCAAGGTACAGTGGAGCTTCATCGTGAAGAATAACTGATGAGCAGACAGACACTTGCTATCTGACACAGGAATGCAGGCTGATCAGAATCCCAGCCTCTTGGCAGATGATAAAATAGAGCAGGGAAAGGATGAATTAAGATGATACGCTGTGTTTTATCAATAAAAGTAATGGCAAGAGATATACTTCTCACGATTGTTTAACCAGGAGAAAGCTCACAAGAATGATACATTTTGCTTATAAAGCAATGTGAAGTGGGATAGATCACACTGTCAATTTAATGGCTGGGCTTGCTGCATTTGTAATAGTGGGAAGATTATTCTCTGTATTCATTCAGAATGAATGAAACAGAGAAAGAGATTCTCACTATAAATCCAGTTCTGCTGGAACCCATTCTGTCATCCTGTGCTCCCCTTGCTCTTTAAGCTAAAACAGGTAGGAAAATGGAACAGATGACCCTCTATACGAGCAAGGTTTGATGTCATTCCATGTACGTTGTCCTAAAACATGTCAGGCAGTTTCCTTTGGAGCACCACACTGAAGGGATTTAAAAAATAATTTATAGTAGATAGCAACACTATAACTCAGTTTAGGGTAATATTAATTACTCACTTACAAATGATGTCAAGTGCTCATCACAATAAGAATGTGGACTTTATTCATTAAAAATCAATGTATAATGTATATTGTTCTGAGTGCCAAATCACCATAACTATGCCAGTCTTGCAGAAAATCGAACTAGAATTTTCTTCTTTCTCTGAATATGAGCTTTCTTAAAAAACAGACATAAAAGAATAATCAAAAATAATGGGATTTTTCCCTAATTTTTAAATATTCCTATTTACCATTACTCTGATAATTGTGTGAACTGTGTTGTTACACAGCATGTTACAGCAGAGAACAGTGGCCCCATGGTTAGTCCAGGCTCTACCATTCACTGAATCTATGGGAAAATTGCTTGATTCTTTGTATTTATCAGTATAGTATATGGTATATGTATATGTGTAGTAATATATATGCATATCTATATATGTATATATGTGTGTATGTATAATATAGTAATATATATATATATATAAAATTATCCACTAAATATAAAATATATACTTAAAGGAAAATTAAGTTAATACATTCTCAATACACTTCAATGATTAGATGTTGTGAGGTTAAGGATATACCTCAGTCTGTGGAGCGCTTGCTGTGCAAGTGTGGAGACCTCAGTTTCATCTCCAACACCCACATAAAAAGCTTTTATTATACAAGTCTTTTGCTTATCCATTCTCGCCATACCTATTCAATAGTAGGTACTTGAAGTTTTAGAGCAATAAGACCACCAAAGGAGATCAAGGGGATACAAATTGGAAAGGAAGAAGTCCAAGATCTTTATTTATAGATGGTATGGTAGTATGCATAATTGACCCCAAAATTCCACTGGGAAGCTCCTACAGCTGGAAAACACTTTCAGCAAAATAGCTAGGTACAATATTAACTCTCAAAAACCAGTAGCCCTCTATATACAAATGACAAGCAGACTGAGAAAGAAATCAGGAAAACAACACCTTCCATAATAACTTCAAATTATGTAAATCATCTTGGGGGTAACTCTAACCTAATAAGTAAAAGACTTTTATGATTAAAAACTTTAAGGCATTAGAGAAAGAAATTAAAGAAGGTATCAGAAGATGGAAAGACTTCCCATGCTCATAGATCAGTAGTAAACATGGCCATCCTACCAAAAGCCATCTAAAGAAACCCGTTACTTTTACAGTAATTTGCAAAAATTAAAACTCCCCATATAGTCAACATGTTTCACCCATTACATGCACTCTCAGTGTTTCAGATGGATCACATACTTCTCTCTCCTTGTCTGCACATTGCTATTCTACGACTTTACTCATTGTTTAGGTAGCTTTCACCTTTGACTGTGTTTTCTCGAAGGTGCCGTTTTTGACCTATGAACTCTGCTGTATATTCACTCACCTAGCACCCATTATGTCAGCCATTATACTTTTTTTTTTTTCTTTTTCGAGACAGGGTTTCTCTGTGTAGCTTTGCGCCTTTCCTGGAACTCGCTTTGGAGACCAGGCTGGCCTCGAACTCACAGAGATCCGCCTGGCTCTGCCTCCCGAGTGCTGGGATTAAAGGCGTGCGCCACCACCGCCCGGCATTATACTTTTTATAATGATTCATTTATTCTTTTAATGCCCCTTCTTGTAGCAAGATTTTTAAAGGATAGAGACAAAGTAATTCTCACCCATC